TCTGTATGTAAGTCAGAACTGGCAGTCAGTTTCAGCAGCGGCTGAATCTGGACGCCAGTTCCGACTTACATACAGATTCAACTTAAGAACAAACCTACATTCCCTATCTTGTACGTAACAGGGACTGCCTGTATAGCAAAACACAACATTTCCAGTAAGTTCATAGATATATTGGAGACACTCTCTTGTTTCAGGAATAAGTAATGAGCAGGACAGATATTTTAGTCTTGATTTTGACCAACAGAGAGGCATTTTAGCAAACCAGAAAATAAAAGGTAATTAGGATGAAGATATGACATGTTAGATTTAATAATTCTAAGGAAAGGAAAGCATGAGAACAACAGCCATTAAACTCTGAGAACTGGTAGGTAAGGTCCAATGAGAAGAAAATCTAAGGGCTAATGTTGTCCATGAAAGCTGGCAGTTACTAAACACAACTGAAAACTATCCTAATACAAAGGAAAGAGAAGAAACGAAGAGGCCAGAGTGTACCAACCCTACACGCGCTTAAAGGGGACAGACCAACCATTGTGGGCCAAGGAGAACACACACTTTTCCTTGTTGCTCATGCAGCAAGTAGAAGAGCCAGATCCAAGAAGGCAGCCCAGTTCAGTCAACAGTAGCTGAAGAAGAGGAAAGTCATGTTCTGGGGGCTCCTTCTGAGGTACAAACACTCCAAGCAGCAAGGCCCATGCACCTGGACCACCGTGTGGAAACCTCCTTGGTATAGAGACTGACGGAGATGCTGGCTTGCCTTCAGCTGAGGAAGTTCCCAAGATACTATTTGTGGTATGAAGTGACCCAGGAGATATAGTGGAAACTGCTACCTAAATCCTTAACATGGAAGTCCCCAGCTTCATAGGGCCCTGGGTTGGAATCCAGTGGAGCAGAAGCTGGGTTCCCCTACCCTCCACCCCAAATTGCTACTGCCTGCTCCAGCTAGGAGGCTGCAGGGGCCTAGACTGTTTGTTTGCTTTGCCCACCCAGGGACAGCAGTCTGAAGGGCTGTTTATTTGGATTCTCAGAGGCCACCAACTATTCATGTAAAGATCATGCAAAGGGGACTAAAACCCCTGTGATCACAATTACCCACTTAACATGGAATGCCAACAACAGGGCATACCAAGCCTGCAATGGACCAACAGGGGTGCCTCAGCTTTACACACAGGATCCATCAGGAGCTCTTTAATGACCTGAAAATCAAAAAAGGAATACTGCAAAAAGCAGGAACACAAATTGCTAAGAAGGAATCCATAAAAATAGCACAATCATGTAGAGACAAAAATCAGAAAGGCTAAGATAACCT